CTCTCTCCGTTCTCTCCTATTTCGCGTTCCTGTTTTTTGACCTTTCACTGGTTCTTAAATTCCCGAAGATCCGTAACTCCGATTGGGCTAAAATTTTGAGGGGATTTTTATCCAGAAATTATCTTTCTTGCGAGATCGAAAGGCAGAAACTGACTTATGGGGTACCCACAACACATTTGGGCGCGCCCATACCCCTTGGGCATGCTCTGGTGCCTTGTGGGCCCCTCGAGCACCTTCTTGCATTGATTCTTCTTCCCAAAAATCACATTTATTTCAAAATAAATCTCTGTAAATTTTTATCGCGTTTGGACTTTGTCTGATATGGATATTCTACGAAACAAAAAAACATGCAACAAACATGAACTGGCACTGGGCACTATATCAATATGTTAGTCCCAAAAATAATATAAAATGTTACCAAAAGTATATGAAAGTTGTAGAATATTGGCATGAACAATCAAAAATTATTGATACGACGGAGATGTATCACCCCCCGCAAGACTGTCGCGCCGCCCAAGAAGAAGAAGCAGCTGATGCTCAAGGAGCAGGTCGTGCTGTCGGCCAAGAAAAAGGGCCAGAGGCACACGACAGACGTAAGGGACGAAGCAGCGACCATCGCCGCCCTCACCGCTGTTGCACAGCAGGAGGAAACCAACGCCCGAGCGACAGCAGCCACGAGGGAGGCCCTGATGTACCTAGGGGTAAACCCTGGCCAGCACGGGCTCGTCAACGCCGTCGTGGCCGCGACCAGCACGGGCGGGATGCTGCTGCCAGAGTCACCGCGCGCGTCTGCCATTCATCCGATTCCTGACTTCCACCTCTATCCGCAAGCCTCCCGACTCTCCAGGGAATGCTCGTCGGACGTGAGCGTGGTAGCGCCTTCCATACCCATGCTCGTGTCCATTGACCTCAACGCCACGCCGGTGGCCGACAGGTCATCATCTAGAGGGGCGAGGAAACACACATGGGAGATGTCAGCCGACGTGCTCCCTGGCGCCCGCAACTTGTTCGACAGAATGCCGATGACTGGCGACGAGGAAACGGCCAACCGTTTCATCATGGAGAACATCATCTTCGAAGGTGGTGCACCGGCCACTGGCGGTGCCGCCGCGGCTGCCTACGATCCCGATGAGAGCCAAAGCCAAGACGGCCGAGCGCCATTCACGTCGGCGACCTATGATCAAGCTGCCATGCACAACACCTTCATGCAAGATCAGGTTGGCCTGGACCTGGATGGCTTCCCGCTCGATCATGAGTTTCCGAAGGACTACGACCTCGAGGAAGAGGATGAGTTGGACATCGACGGGGTGCGTTTTTTCGAGGTCTCGAGGACGAGCTCGCCAACCAGGCTGCCGGGCCGAAGTCAAAGCGCAAGAGCAAGCGGACGAAGGCATACACACCGTCCGAGGACAAGCTCCTTTGTGAGTGTTGGAGGGACATTGGGCAAGACCCCAAGGTCGGCGCCAAACAGAAGGCATCAACCTTTTGGATTCGTGTTCATCGTGAGTTCCATGAATGCAAGAAGTTTTCGTCGTACCAAATTCATAGCACACGTGCGTGGGTGTCCATTTCGAAGCGATGGAGTGTGATACAACAAGAGTGCAACAAGTTTTGTGACACCCTTGAGAGCATCAAGGCACACCCCATGAGCGACATCGGTATGCAAGATATGGTACATGCGCCCCTCTTCGTTTCCATTCACGTTATGCTTGCATGTCCATTTGCATACCCATTTTGCCCATATGCTTGCATGCTATTCATTTGTAGGCTTTCCAAGCTTTGGAGGCATTCAAGGTCCAACATGGCGGCAAGTCCTTCAACCTCTCCCATTGTTGGATGGTCATCAACGGGGAGGAGAAGTTCAAGGCGCAATATGCCACACTCATGACGCGTGGGGAGAAGAAAGCCGTGGAGGAGGTTGGGAGGGCGAAAAGCCATGACCACGGGGGAAGACCAACTCCAAGAAGGAGGACAAGCGGGATGCAGCGTCATCACCTTGCTTGCAACTGTGGAGGACATGATGAGCAAAAAGGACTCAAGGGGGAGGAGAAGCACCAGAAAGACAAGGAAGAGCAAATGAATGCCTTCATGAAGATCCAAAGGAGAAGGCTTGAGATGGAGGCGGAGAAGCAAGCCGAGATGCTTGAGATGGAGGCGAAAAGGCAAGCGAAGATGCTCGAGATCGAGGCCGTCAATGCCAGGATCAAGGTGAAAGAAGTGGCGCTCACGAGTATGATGACGGGGGTGGAGATCATGAAGGTGGACCTCAACACCGTGTCGTCGAGGAAGAGGCCATGGTTCGAGAAGATGCAGGCCGACATGCTCAAGTTCGACGACGAGTGACCTATGGCTGGGAGCGTCATCCATTTTTTGTATGCCGACAAGTGTGCTGGCATGACCACGGCCGACATGCCGTGGTCGAACTCCCGCCCCTTTTTGTGTGCTGGCTTGGTGCCGGCCGCTGGGAAGTGAGCCAACATGAACTGTGTGGTGATTTTTTTAAGGCTGGCATTGTATGCCGGCTGCTGGCATGATATCGACATGAACTTCGGGCGCCGGCAATGACCGCTGACATGATCTATGGCCGCAGACCTTTCAAATTTATGTGTGGACATAAAATAGGTCGTGGGCGTTGGGCGCACCGCCGACTCAAAAAAAAATAGGACGGACACCGAACGAAGGCGACTCAAAAGAACGAAAAAATAGACAAAATCGACATCCATTTGAGTAGGCACGTTGAAGTTGCTCTTATACACATGGACGGAAGGAGTACTCATTTACATTTATGCCATGCATTGGACGGTGACGGTTGCGAGTCCCCCAGTTCAGTTTCCTAGGCCCGCTACACTCCCGTGATAAAGTTACTGTAATACTCCTGCTCAGTACTCGCCTGCCCGCTTTCCCTCGCCCCCGGCGATGGGTCGCACGAAGCACGCGGTGGCGGCGACGACGGAGACGAAGAAGCGGCTCCGCTTCGAGCTATCCCCGCGATGGAGGCCGCCGCCGCCGATGCGCCAGGTACCGCCGGAGCCGCAGCCGCAGCCGGAGAAGAAGAAGAAGCGGGCGTACCGGTTCCGGCCGGGCACGGTGGCGCTGCGGGAGATCAGGAAGTACCAGAAGTCCACCGAGCCGCTCATCCCCTTCGCGCCCTTCGTCCGCCTGGTGAGTGTGGGTCGGGTACCCCGTACCCGTGCCCTCCTCCGCCCGTCCCGTCCTCCGATTTGTATCCCATCACCGATTCAGGATGCGGACACAGCGTGTGACGGAAGCTTGCTCGTCTTTGCAAATTTGCAGGTTAAGGAGATCACCAACGACCTCACGAAGGGAGAGCTGAACCACTGGACTCCTCAGGCGCTCATCTCGTTGCAAGAGGTCGGTCGATGGTCAATGCCGAAACCTGCCGTGTACTATTAGACCTGATGGTTCCCATTAAAGAAACCAGCAACTGCGATAGTTCTGAGAATTGCGAGACAGATAAATTTATCACCATAATTCATAGTTCCTGAATCTGAATGCTCTGGTATTAATGCAGTTGATACATCTGTTTAGCAGCATGATTGTTTTTTGGTGGGTAACTCAAAACCAAAATCAAATGTCTTTGTGCCATAGTTCATAGCTTCTCGTTGTTTGGTCTAAGATATACTCTCTCCGTCCTTCAAAGAGTGTACTTCCAACTTTGTTGGAGGGTCAAACTATCTCAAAGTTTGACCGAGTTTGTGCAAAAATATATCAATGTTTGTGAAACCAAATAGGAGTATGGTGAAAATATATTTTATCATGAATCTAATACTACTAATTTGACAGCATAAATGTTGGTGTACTATTGTATAAATACAGTGAAAATATATTTTATCATTAATCTAATACTACTAGTTTGACTTTCCAACAAAGTTGGAAGTACACTCTTTCAAGGACGGAGGGAGTACACTGTGTCTTGCAACATAATCATGCCACGCACATGCGACACACGCAAAACTGAACTATTTGTTCATATTACATTTTGCTTAAGGATGTGACTGAGAAGTGAGGAAGAGGTAGTCCAAAAAAAAACTGATTTTTATCATGTGATGGTTATGTGTCCAAACGCCAAGGATTTATCTGTATCCACTATCCAGTACAACGACACAAGTGCTTTTAGAACTATACAAGATTGCTAGTGCATGGTAAACTAACACAAGTCGCCTCTTGCCACAAATAATTTCTTCTGCATAACTAGCAAAATTAACATAGAGTTGACTATATTCCATATGTGGCCTATCAAATAAGTTGAATGTCCTAATTGTACTTTCAGTCACTGTCCTGTATATTTGCTTTGAGTTTGCACATGATTTTCTTTTCCTTTCCCTCTGCAGGCTGCAGAGTATCACATAGTCGATGTATTTGAAGAGGCAAATCTATGTGCCATCCATGCTAAGCGTGTTACCATCAGTAAGTTATCACTGAATGAACACTTCCTTTCTTTTACAATATTGTGCAAAAGGAAACATGGCAGTTATAAAGCATTTCAATTTCAGGATCATCTTTGCTTTTATTTGATGTGTTATCTAGTTTCGATGTTGTTTCAAGCTGCAAGAATTCAATGATTATTAGTGATTAGAAGATCCACAGTTATCAGATCTCAGCAGCTTCTCGTATTTTTTGTTCTCAGTGAACATGTCACAAACAAACAGCAGATATGCTAACACTTAAGGCCTTTTTGCGGGAAAACAATTATGGCTTGTGAATGTGCCAGAGTTTTCAGTTTTCTAATGATGCATTTCTAGATATAAAATCTGGTTACTGTAGCAGGAAATTCAGGGTTGATTACCCTGTTTATTACTTACCTCGAGGATATAAACATAGTATAAAATCAGAACGTTATTTGCAAGATATGTTTTATTTCCTCTTAAAGCTTGGGTACTGTTTTACCGTGACAAATAGGTGTCACTAGAATTATTATCATCAAGGTTGTTGTTTCTATTCCAATAACAAATAAATGTTTTCAGTTAGGGACAAATAGGTGTCACTAGAATTATTATCATCAAGGTTGTTGTTTCTATTCCAATAACAAATAAATGTTTTCAGTTAGGGATGACTTCATATGTATCTTTAAAAGGATGCTCCTGAACAAATTGGAACTATTTATGCAGAAAATACATGTATACATTAGAATGTTTGTGTTCACCTGACCTTTTTTTGCCTCTACAGTGCAAAAGGACATACAGCTTGCGAGGCGTATCGGGGGGAGATGGCTTTGGTGATACTAATGGAAGACGTTTTCTGCATCATAGGGAGCAAAGACTGGTGATTTGGTGGTACTAATGGTAGATGTTCTGTGTATGAGGGGTGCAATGCAAAGGCGCTGATGGTAATGGCCCAGTATGTTTGTGAGTGTATCGTTAGGAAGTAATGCAGGTGTATTTTCATTTAGTTAGCATGTCTTCGAAGTTGATCTGGTTCATTGCATGGTTGGGATCATCTGACCTCTCTGCTTTGCTCCATTTGAATTGATCTAATTCAGACAGCGTTTCTGCGAACATCCAAGGATATGGGTTGTCAAATGGCATGAAACTGTTGTGGATTTACGCACAAACGTTGTAAACTGTTTGCTGTAACCTAATCACTGCACTGTAAAAACTGCCTTCAATTTCCCCAACAGTCATCACTACCACCAAGAAAAAGTGAGTTTGAAATTTTTCTTGCTGAACTGCCTGAGATCAGCATGAACTTGTGTCATCAGGAAGTTCAGGCTGGTGCTCCTCCAAGATCACTCTTCAGATATTGTAAACAACCATGCTGACGGTCACCTGAGATAGCCGGGGCGGGTATGCCTATGGTATCACAGAAGGCTTTTGAATTATGGTGGTAATTGCCTGAGAGACAGGACTTCGCAGGAAATTAACAATTGAAGAGATGATTTTTAGCCCCTCAAATTTCATCACTACTCATGACAATAGGCAGATCCACATTCCATGTAGTATATGTGATGATATTTTTTTCCCATTTTTGTTACATTATCCAAACACTTATTGTAACCGCACGGGATGGCAAATGTGTAAATGAGACTAATGAAATGTTGGCATGTGTGATCAATGAAAAGTGAGGGAAGAATCTGCATTGACTTTGAAACTAGTTGCTATCGCGTAAATTTTCTGATCTCTTATATAGTTTGAAAAGAAGGAACCAAAGAGAAACGCCTAGACACACCAAGTGATACAATGTCTGAATAGCAGGGATCTTTTGTTAAACAATGGACGGTAGAAATTATTCCAGATAGAACGGGGGGAAGAACATGCTAGGTGCACCTTGCAATGAGGAAGGAGAAGCACCTTGACAGCTTTGATTTATGCAACATTTTTAACAAGAATAATCTTTTGAGGACCTTTCTCCTCTTCGGCCTTCAAAGTTCTCATTTGAATATTTGCTACTAGATGCAATCGAGCAAAGCTTTTAACTGTTCTCAGTTCTTTTGTCAGATGAAGTGTTTGTGCAGCATCATTGTGTTTCAAAAGTATTGATATGCATAACTGAAGTTTTCTGAGTCAGGTTCGCTGGATTAAAAGGCTAGTTCCTCATGAGGATCAACATCTTATCAGCTATGCATTATACTTACAAAACAGCTGAGATAAGAGGACAGCTTGTCCTTCTGGGTTCAAATCCACTCCCACGTAATCAGGTCTGCCTCCTCCCTCCGTCGCCTGTCACTTGTAATGACTTAAACCATGAGCTCGCTTGCTGTACAGCCACTTGATTTTCCATTGAAATAGCAGACTCCTTTGTTTTCTTTCTTCTTCTTCTTTTACAGTCCTTGGCTGCTCTTGCATTTGTTTCAGAGAGAATTTCAGTAATCTTCCAGACCGTCATCTTGCAAGTTTTTTTTTCTTTTGGAAGTTTACCATCATTCTTGTTCGATAAACCAATCAAATACTGTTACATGACCTCATCGGATGAATAATCGTACAGGCGAAAAAAAAGCTGCAGTACCGCTTGCTTTGTTTCACACAACTCATGTCTGTTCCATCCCAAGCGCCGCAGAGAACGGGCATCGCCTCATATTCACTTGCCGGGGACAAAGTTGGTGGCGAATGCCCAGGCGTTGTTGTTGACGGGATCGGCGAGGTGGTCGGCAAGGTTCTCAAGGGGCCCCTTGCCGGTGACGATGGCCTGGACGAAGAAGCCAAACATGGAGAACATGGCGAGCCGGCCATTCTTGATCTCCTTCACCTTGAGCTCCGCAAACGCCTCAGGGTCATCGGCCAGACCGAGGGGGTCGAAGCTACCGCCGGGGTAGAGGGGGTCGACGATCTCACCGGGCGGGCCACCGGCAACGCGGTACCCCTCGACAGCGCCCATGAGCACGACCTGGCAGGCCCAAATGGCAAGGATGCTCTGCGCGTGGACAAGGCTGGGGTTGCCAAGGTAGTCCAGGCCACCTTCACTGAAGATCTGAGAACCAGCTTTGAACCACACGGCCTCACCGAACTTGACGCCGTTGCGAGCGAGGAGCTCCGGGAAGACGCAGCCGAGAGCACCGAGCATGGCCCACCGGCAGTGGATCACCTCGAGCTCCCTGTTCTTCGAGAACGTCTCGGGGTCAGCCGAGAGCCCGGCAGTGTCCCAGCCGTAGTCCCCGGGGAACTCGCCGGTGAGGTAGGACGGCGCATCACCGGAGAGTGGGCCGAGATAGAGGGCACGGTCCGGGCCGTACCACGGGCTGCTGGAAGCGGCGGGCTTGGCCTTGGCCGCCGTCTTGCGCATTGTGATGCGGCCCTCGCCAAACACGTTGGAGGAGGCGATCTTGGCCGCGGCAAGACCCGGGGAGGAGAGTGCCATGGTGGACGACGCCATTGCAGAGGACCCTGAAGAAGATTTGGTTGCTTGTCTTGTGCTTCTAAGCTGTAAGCTGTGGTGTGTGGAAAACAGAGAGCTGTATTGGAGTTTAAATAGTCCAGTAGACTGCGAGGGGCCTTGTTGGCAGTGACGCTTTGGCTGGATGGATGGGCCTATCTCTTGTTATCCTCTGATTGGACAATTCGTTTCTGGGATTGTGTCTTAGCATGCCACCTGTGCTTGCTGGGCTTACGTGTAAAGTGTAGTCTTCAGAGAGCGACCCAACCAACTGGGAAATGCCATGTGGACATCTTGAAACATTCGTGCAATCCTTAGATGAGGTGGTGTCAAATGACAGGATTTGATCAGAGATTAACCATTGATCGAAGCAATGGTCAAGAGCACAACAGCCCATTAATCCATGGTAAAAATTAAAGCCACACAAAAATGGAATTCTACACCCAGGCACTTTGTTGAACATATTTTTTTTCCAATTTGTACTCCCTCCGTTCCTAAATATAAGTCTTTGTAGAGATTTCATATTGAAATATCTAAAACGGCTTATATTTAGGAACTATGAAATCTTTAAAAAAGACTTATATTTAGAAAGGGAGGGAGTATATAACATGAACGAAATTGGATATCTGAAACTGCAAGTTAATCCTGCCAAATTAAGCTTATACAGTTCTATCAACCCCAGTTCTTTACAGTTGATTACAACATGGTAGAGAAATAAATTTGATATATCAAGTAGCACTTCTTCCCAATGGTAACATCCCAAATTTCCCATATGGAATGTTTTACAATTATAGCTAAGCATCTATGCATATTGTTTGAAATTGAGTGGCATTTGAAAAAAAAAATCAGGGGCTTTTGAGTTGTTTGAATTTGGATTCAAATTGGCAGTTGAATTTATTTCAAAACCATGCCTGACAAATACTTGAGCAAAAGTAGGAGAGGAGTAAACATGACACTCCAAAAATGTCAGAAGAAAAATATTGCCAAAAATTTTGAATTCAAATTTGAATTTTATTTGGGATTTCCAGAAAGTGTTTTTTTAGTTTGATTTTTGCCACTGGAAAATTGTCCACGTTATAGGATAAATTCCCCTGAGAATTTTGATATATATATGTCCTATATAAAAGATATATATATTCTCCTATATCTTTTTCCTCCCTCTGTCTAATTCAAAAAAAAACCGGGCGCCAGGCCAGCAAGCCTAGCCACCCGGGCCGCAGCCCACTAGCCAGGCGCCAGCCCAGTCGTCCGCGCAGGCCGCCAGCCAGCGGCGCTCCTCGCGCACACTCGTGAGGGAGATCTCATGTAACTCCCTCTCCCATCTCTCCTCTAAAAACAATACCCTCGAGTTTAGGGTTTTCGCCTCTGGCGGCGACTCTCATCGCCACCTAGAGTTCTACATCTACCGCCGATCCGATCTCCGCACGAGCCCGTCCTGGTGCTGTCGAGGGGAAGGAGAGATCGGCTAGGTTTCTGGCCGGGTTTTGTGGTTTCGGCGTGCTGCTCTCGAGGGCAAACGCTAGATGGCGGCCGAGGCGGGTTCGTCTTCCGCGGGCTGGTCGGGGAAGAAGCTGGAGGAGATGCTGCAGCACTTGGATCTCAAAGACGACGAGCTGGACGACGTGATCGTGGGGGAAGAGGAAACGAAGAAGTACGCGGCAGATGCGCGCTGGCTAGCAATTGGGAAGGTCAACACGACTCGACAGTTCAGTTCATCGTCGATGTTCGAGACGATGAAATCGATCTGGGGATTATCTCAAGTGCCAAAGTACAGAGAAGCGGGAGAAAATCTTTACATCTTCCAGATGTTCTGCCTAGGAGATTGGAAAAAAGTAGTTCATGGAGGACCCTGGTTGTTTTGGGGGATGGGTATGCTCATCGAGGATTATGATGGAAAGCAGGATCCTGAATCTTTCGTCTTTGATGGCCTGTACGTTTGGGCGCAGATCCACGGCATACCTGAACTGTACCGCAAGATAGAAGTGGTTGATCAATTAGCCCGGCGTATTGGCCGAGTTAAGGAAACACAACTCTCACCTAGGCTTTTCTACGAAGGTGACTACGTTCGGGTTCGTGCTAGGATTTTGATTAGTAAACCCTTGACGAGGGTGATCCCGCTGAATGTGATGGGCGAGGGCAGGAAACTTTTACCGGTCAAGTATGAGAAGATACCATATTTTTGCCAGATTTGCGGTCTCATGGGTCACAACCATGAGGAATGTGGTGATGGAGTATGGGAGGCAAAAGACAAGCAATGGGGCGGTTGGATGCTAGCGCAGCGCAGAGAGACTCCGCCGAAGCAGCAAGGGGGACGAGCTCCTCGAGGGGGCAGGTTCGGAGGCCGGGGCAGAGGGAGATCAGGACGTGGATCACAGCCGCGTCAACCCTCCCCGGTGCGTAAACGTTCGTCACAGGAGGCGGGCCTGAACTCGGATGCTGAGGAAGAAGAAGATGATGTCACAAGCCCTCTGAAACCAACCAATGCTGCGGGAACGATGCAAGATGAGCCGCCGGGTGCACGCAGGAACCTGGTTTTTGTCCAATACATTGAGGCTCCCGGCGGAGACAAGCAATCACAGGGATCTGAAGTGGGCAAGATAGGTGATCATAGCCAGGCATTGGTTCCCGTCCCTCCACTACCAACAAAGTATGTATCTCCCAGAGAAGCAAAAAAGGCAAAAACAGCATCCTCACCAAAGAAGCAGAACACCAACAAGATGGCATCATTGGCGGGCTCCGACGCGGAGCGCCGCCAAGCCCAATGAAAATCTTAAGCTGGAACTGCCGCGGGATAGGCGACCCCGCGACAGTTCATGAGCTCCGCGACCTTGTGGAGATTAGCTCGCCATCTATTTTATGTTTAGTTGAGACTCAGTTACAGAAAAGCCGTGTGGAAGGTCTTCGTGTGTCGTTAGGTTTTGATTTCAGCTTTGGAGTAGGGAGTAGTGGCCGCAGTGGCGGCCTTTGTATCTTTTGGAAGAACTCTTTGGATGTTGCAATAAGAAACTTTTCCGAGTACCACGTTGACACCTGGTGTCGTGGAATTGTCACGTCAGATGTCCTTAGTGTCAGGACTTAGTCGCGAGGCCAACACATCTATGTGGTAGCTTGAGAGGGGTTGATCGGGACGAGAGACGCAACACGCATGACAAGGATTTAGACAGCTTCGGGCCCCGGGAAACATCATCCGGAATAGCCCTACATGCTGTTTGAGGCTAGGTCTCATTATGCTCATGAGAGGAGTCGCCGTAAGCCGGCTCCCCCTTTGTGTCTAGCCCTAGATATTGTTTCTTGTTGCTTGTCCCTCTTTGGGGAGCTCTGCCCCTCCTTATATAAGTTAGAGGGGCGGGTTACATGTGGAGTCCAAATAGGATTAGGACTAGCCTATCTTGTACTACAAGCCGGATACAAGTTCGGGTCTTGATTCCTTGTAAAGGAGATATTCCTCACGCCTTTCCTCTTAAACTGGCCTATCATAACGTAAGCCGGCCTTCTGGGCCTTGAGCCTCCTGGGCCTCCGGGTCTTGTCGCTCCTCTGATCCGCTTGCCAGGTCACCCATAAGTCGCCAGGATCGGGCGGGTCATTAGTGAGTATGTCCCCGACACCTGGGTAACGGAAGCTGGAAAGGAGCAATGGAGGTTGACTTGCTTCTATGGAGAAGCAACCAGAAACTTGCGCTACAAAACATGGAATACTATGAAGCGTTTGCGAGGGGAAAGCACCCTCCCGTGGATGTGTATTGGTGATTTTAACAAGATCCTGCGGCCTGAAGAACAACATGGTCCAAATGAGCGTGATATCTCTCAGATCGAAGCATTTCGGGAAGCAGTCGATGTTTGTGGTCTTGCGGACTTGGGTTATCGCGGTTTGGACTGGACATGGGAGAAGAAGGTAGCCGGAGGACATTTCTGTCGCGTTCGTCTGGACAGAGCTTTGGCTTCTCCTTGCTGGTCAAGCCTTTTCCCGTTCGCCTTAGTTGAGCATCTTACCGCTGCAAAGTCGGATCACTCCCCGATCCTTCTGTAGACTACCCTGGATGATACATGCGTTTGTGCAAAACAGAAACGCTTCCGCTATGAGTGCATGTGGGAACGGGATGCCCGTTTTGGAGATGTGCTCAACGAGGCCTGGAACTCAATGGGGAGAGCACACACCGTCACAGAACTATCTGATAAGTTGGCATCGGTCGCTGGCAGGCTACAACGATGGGGACACTCCTCCTTTGGTGCAGTCCGGGATGAACTCCGCCGACTCCGCAAGAAGCTCGAGGAGCTACGTTCACTACCCAACCGAACGGGTCCGTCGGCTGGAGATAAGCGGGTGGAAACATGCATGGCTGAACTTTGTTTGAGGGAAGAAATTATGTGGCGTCAGAGGGCCAGGATCCAATGGCTAACTGAAGGAGACAGTAACACCCAATTTTTTCACCGAAAGGCGAGCGCACGGAGAGCTAAGAATCGCATTGTGGGGCTGCAAAAGCCGGATGGCTCTACCTGCTCGAACGAACAGGAGATGGCAGATATGGCCACATCTTTCTACAACAATCTTTATGTCTCAGAAGCAACGGTAGGCATTGAGGAAGTTCTTGCGCATATACCATCGAGAGTGGATGCTTCCATGAACGCCTCACTGAATGCCCAGTACACCAATTCAGAGGTAAAAACTGCTTTGTTTCAGATGTTCCTGACCAAGGCTCCAAGGCCCGATGGTTTCCCTGCACACTTTTTCCAACGACACTGGGAGCTGTGTGGTGACGAGGTAACTGCTATGGTGCTTCGAGTTCTTAATGGAGAAGATTCCCCAAAGGAGATCAATAGAACGTTCATTGTTTTAATTCCCAAGATTGCTAGCCCAAAAACTTTAGCACAGTTCCGGCCGATAAGCCTATGCAATGTGATCTACAAGATTG